CTGGTGAGGGGCAGGGAGAGCTCTCCCATTCTTACGACCTCAGGGCCAGCTCTTCCACCTGTCACAGGAGGTGGGGCATCTCTCCCCCACCCACACCACCATATGAAGGGCAGGACCAGGTCTCCCATGCTCACATTCTTGAGGACAGTTCACCCACATCCTTGTCAACAGGGTCAGCTTGGCTCTGTTGCCCAGGCAAGGTGCAGGACCTACTTCACTGAATGTGGCAGCTGACAAGGGGGAAGGTCAGCTCCCTTGCCCACCACAGGTGCCAGCAGCAGGGCGGGAGCGCATCTTTACCTTGCCTTCACCACCACATGGGAGAAGAGGGAGGTGTGGCCAGCTATCCCACCCTCACACACTCTCAGGGCCAGCTCACCCACTCCTCTGCCACCAGGCTCAGCTCTACCTTGCTGCCCAGGTGAGGAGCAGGGCCCACTTTTCTAGTGCTGGAGCTGGTAAGGGGGAAGGTAGGCTCTTCTACAACAGGTGGTGAGGGGCGAGGGATAAGGGGGGGACATTTCTCCCCCCACACCTCCGATAGCTACATCAATTTTATGAATTCAAAAGCACGTTTCATCCTTCACAAACCTTTGCAGCTCATACTCTGGGTTTTCCTTACCTGTCCATTTCCATTTTGGATCCATCTGTTACTTTTAAGACAAAAATCTTTTACATCACTTGTTTTAACATGGATTTAGATCCCTTGTTCACCCACTTTCTCTTTAACACTTTTCGAAAATATTTTTCTGTACCTAAAAGTTCTCCTATGTTCCTCTGGCTTGATGTTTCATGCCTGACTTACTATTCTTTACAAAATTTCCATATTTTGAAATTATAATAATATTTTAATGGAAACCCAAGAAACTGTATTTAAACAGAGAAAACATTGGCTTTGCATCTTTAACATCTAACTGATATAAATACAGGAAAAGCATATATTAACAGCCATGGAGACATCCTTATCTTCTCTTACTGATAAGTTTGTTTATATATATATTTTTTTGAGGCAGAATTTTACCATGTAGCCTTTGCTGGCCTTGAACGTGGTACATAGCCTCAGTCTGGCCTTCAACTTTTCGTATTTATCTTTCTTCAGCTTCCTGAGAGCTTAGATCACTAATGTGTACCACCATTCTGGTCATTAATAAGATTATCATTTGTTAAAATATTTTGTTCTATTTTTTTAAGGTGGGAAGTAATTTTGGGAATTGAACCCAGGGCCTCATGCCTACTAGGCAAGTGCTCTACACTTAAGCCACATCCCAGCCCAGTAAGTTTAAATTAACTTATTTGCCAGATGTTTTCAAGTTCCACAGCTTAAAAAGAATTTGCATTAAGTCTGTATTTACAAGCTGATTAAGAGGCCTGTAAATACTGTATATGCAAAAGCACACCTTCAGATAATGCATACTAATCATTAAAATAAACTAAATCAAAAGACTTATAGCTTTCATTATCCATCATCTCTAATTCCAAATCTGTGCTTCCAAAGGTGTTATTCCTAGTGAAAACAAGGTTGAAGATTTTTATATAAAAGCCATTGCACTTAACTTATCATTGACAAAGCTATAACCACAACAAAAAAAGATAATCAGTCAAAAGTGAAGCTTGTGATGAAGACTCAAGACAAATCTTTTCCTCTATGAAGAACTAACCATCAAGGAGACACCCTAACAACTGGAAATTTCTTTTTAAAGATTTATGTGTGTGTGTGTGTGTGTGTGTGTGTGTGTGTGTGTGTGTGTGTGTGTGTGTGAAGGCTGCATGAGTGATGATGTCTGCCAGGGCCAGAAAAGGGTATTGCGTCCCTTGGAACTGGAATTACAGGAACTGCCTGATGTGGATGCTGGGAACCCAACTCAGACCCTCTAGAAGAGCAGCAAGTGTTCTTTGCTGTTAAGCCCCAGAAATTTCTCTTTTAATGCCAGTTTTTCAGTCAAATTTCTCAATCTTCTTGTTTATAATGACATGAAACTCTATCCCCTGTGATCATGTGCATATCCAAAAGAAATAGGAAAGGAAGAAGAAAATCTCAGGACTAGATATTGCTGGTCAGGAATGTTTTTCAATGTGGGAATGTATTTATGAGCTTTCTGCCTGAAATAGACATCTCTTCCCTGTCCTATACTGCCTCCAGAGGCCCTTGGTCAGGTTTCCTGAGCACACGATTGAATCATATTACATCACTTTGCAGAAAAAAAAAAAAGCATAGGCATCACTAGAATAAGAGTTAGGGTTTTAATGTCTTATGATGCACCAATAAGGTCTAAATTTGTCTATTTTGGCCATGGGAAATCTTGGAGGCTCCATTTCAAAAGATCATTTAGTCCCAGTATTCAGAAATAAAGGTGGAAATCAGTGTCTCAAAACCAGAGACTTTGAGGCTGTGAAAGCAATCTGCTAAAGCAGAGTCAGAGAACAGACTGGTCCAGTTCCCCATCTGTGAGGCTGATAGCTTTAAAGAGAGCAGCCATAGCGGCAAGGAAGGGAGCGCTGCTGAGGAAGTTTGGGGATGGGATTGAAGCATGCCATGCAAAGGAACAGCTACCCCTACTGTGTTCCGGGTCCAGGGTGTACTGCTTAATGAGGCTCACTCCTCCTACGTGCCATCCCAGAGTTGGTTCACCACAGCCAGGTTTGGAGCAGCTCTGATGTGGGAACGAGAGAGGTAGAGGACATGCTTGGATGATACTTAGAATGATGTCCTCCTGCTGATTTGTGAATTTTTCTATCTGACACAGGAGTGAGGTGGAAAACTATGTAGGCAATTCCTCTGTCTGGTGCTGGTGGTATTCATCAAATAGGAAGTGGGTCTCTGGCCAGTAGGCAGAAGAAAAGTTAAGGAAGAAAGAGAGAGAGAGAGAGAGAGAGAGAGAGAGAGAGGAATAAAGAAGGAAGGAAGGAAAGAAAGATGTAAATAAAAAATAATAACACGAAGGAACTTAGTAACTATTGAGAAATCTCACCACCAGCACCTCTGAGTATGCCCTGCATGTTTCAACAAGGGTGTGTGTGGTGGGGTGTCAATGGTGATGGGAGCCTTTTGCTGACCTTTGCTGCCACCTGTAGCATCCTGGGAGTTGTTTTGGGGTCCTCTGTGGAGATGCGGAGATTCTTTACTAAAACGCCAAATTTTCGAATGAATTAATATGAAATAGTTTTAGAGTCTATGGAAGTGTTTCAACATAGATTGCGGCATGGGTAGAATGATGGGAGGTGGAGAGATGAGCATGGCTGGAGGGAGGGAAGCGGGGAGGTGTGAGCATGAATGGAAAGGAAGCAGGGGTGCAGGGAAGGAAGGGGAGGTATGAGCATGAATGGAAGGAGGGAAGCAGGGATGAGCAGGGGTGCAGAGAAGGAAAGGGGGAGATGAGCAGCAGCGGTGGGAGAAGGGAAGGAGGGTTTGAGCAGGAGTCTGGGGGAGGGAGGGAGGAGATAAGTAGGAGAGGGATGGAGAGCACACTTAGGAAAAGCACAGTGCACACACACACACACACACACACACACACACACACACACACACACACACACACACGGTTGGGTTTGGCTAGGTAGTATACTCAGAACGAACTCCTTATGTTTCTACTGTGAGAAAGTTCCACATTAGAGACTTTTCAGCCATTTTCATGTTGATTCATGGCTGCTTTGATTTTCCCCGAGGAGATTTTTAGTAAATGGCATAATGGGTTTTTTATTTTTTTTGAGGGGGGGGAGTAGTGCACCAATGGCAGTAAGTCTAGTGGCAATGGAAGGTTCTAGATTTATTTTGTTGTTTCCCCCCGCCCCCAAAGTTTAGTGTTTTTTTTCTTTTATTACAAATAGATTTTTTTTATACAATATGATCTGATTACAGTCTCCCCTCCCCCTGCTCCTTGCTTTTCCTCCCCATCTTCCTTCTCAACCAGATCCACACCCTTTCTAAGTCTCTCATTAGCAAGTAAATAGGTGTTTAAGGAATAATATGAAGAGAAAATAAGATAAAACAGAAGCAAACACATCATAATAGGAGGAAACAACTAAAGGAGAAAAAGATCCAAAGAGAAGGACACGAAATGCATGGAGATGCAGAGACACACACACACACGTGTGCGCACACACAGACATTCCATAAAAAACACACAGAACTGGAAGCCGTAATCCACAAGCAAAGAACACCCTGACTTAACAGTGTGAGGCGCAGAATCTCCCAGATACCTTGAGTTTATTTGCTGTCTGTCTGCTGGTGGGCATGGAGCCTACCCTTAAGAGTGGTTTGCTTCTCCAGTGAGACGCCCTTGGAGAAAACTAAATTTTTATTTACAACTTATTACCAACTGGAAATAGCTTCCGGGTTAGGGATGAGGGCATGTGTCCACTTCGTTTGGCCCTCGTCCTGGTTTTCTTGATTTCCATAGTAAAGGCATCATTCATCTAGTTAGTGTTTTGCGCACTCCCAGTTCCTATGGGCAAGAATCCTTTGTTCAAGACACCTACATATCCCAAATGTCAAGCAGCTTAGTTTCAATGACACTGAAATAAGATACTTTCATTAGTGTGTGCATAACTCTTTGCTCTTCCCCTTAGCAAATTCTAAGATGATGAGTCTGGAATAAGTTAAATTTTTATCTGACATGTAATTATTATTATTATTATTATTATTATTATTATTATTATTATTATTATTATTTTGCTTCAGTAGAAGTTGAGTTGATAACATGCCTTTTTTTTGATACAGCTTCTCGAGGCCCAAGTATTCGAGCATGAGGATTGCTGAGTTTGTATCCACGGTTTACCCATCAGATTTTTTTTTTTTTTGGTTTTTCGAGACAGGGTTTCTCTGTGTAGCTTTGCGCCTTTCCTGGAACTCGCTCTGTAGACCAGGCTGGCCTCGAACTCACAGAGATCCGCCTGCCTCTGCCTCCCCAGTGCTGGGATTAAAGGCGTGCGCCACCACCGCCCGGCTACCCATCAGATTTTTAAAACTGTGTTTCACTATGCATAATTCTCTGTTAAAACAGGTACCACAAGCTCATCTGAGTACACTACATCTGGACCACCCAGTACTCCAGGTAATTTGATTTGTGGCTTTGGGTGTTTAAAAAAAATAGACACATGCACATGCAAATGTAAGTTTGAAGGGTTCTGTTGGTTACTAATTTACAGGGACCTGATATCACTGTGTCACTGTGTTTACAATATTGAGCCTCTTAGAGTTTCCTGAGGAAAAGATTTAGGATACCAATGAGGTGTTTAAAGAAATTTTATGATTATGAGGAAAATTATGTTTTAGGGAAATTTTAATAAAGCACAACATCATTCTCCTTTATCACTTTAGACATAGTTATAAACTGCTCTAAGCAGATTAGGAGTATAATCGATGTCCTCACAATCTGAGTAAAGCTACTCTATGGTAAAGAGAGTGGCTAGACAATTCATAAGCAGACAATAAAAGCACTGTAAAAAGTGTTTAAAATTTTTCATGAAATATCTACTTCTGTTATCCTGACATTTAAGCCTGACCCTGAGATTTCATATCAAATTACTTATCTAGATCAAAGGGTGATTAGAAATATACATGCAGACTTGAAATTTCAAGGTACTTGTCAGTCCCTTTCATCTAGGGAAATTACGTTTTCTACACGCATACATGATTGCATTATTAGTATTAAATAATGGTGGTGGACTAAGCCGCACCTTGGGCTTGCTTGTTTTGTGGCTTCTGATAAAGATTGGCTTATAATGTAAAATATTAGCTTATTTTTCAAGCAGAGCAGACGGCTGTGAAATAGATATAGGATGTTAGTGATTGGGCATGATCCCAAATGAATTGTCCCTAAGGATTTCAGATTGGGCCTGGAAAGAAAAGTGAATTTCAGAGATAATTATCCATATGAATTTGGCAAATCTTAGCTCTCAAGAGCAATTTTGCATATTCAGGATAAGGAACCGCACCTTGACAACAACATTTAACTTCCCAATTAGAAGTCCCATATCCTTTTAAATACATCTTAAGTGAATGTATGTTTCAACTTAAATATTATCTATACTTTGTGTTGAATAGAAAAAGGATCCCATATTCCAGAAGCAACTCCCACATACTCAGAAGCCAATGAAGATGCTGGTAAGTGACTATAACTCAGTGTGGGTTCATGTTTAGTCTAACCCAGTACCTGAAAGTGGTCACAAAGTAACAAAAATCTGAAACTAATTGCAAACAATTACCCTTCCTTCACCCATTTATTTGACTACTCCATGTTTGAATGATATGCCACGCACACTATTTGTTTTTAGTGCCCAGGAATACAGCATATGAAATAATCTATGTACACATACATATATGCATTTCTACTTAAAAATTGTAATCTAATTTTTCCATTCATATGATATAAATGGTGCTACATTCACCCAGGATAAAATCTCCCTACTAAAAGCAAAGTCAACGAGGAAACATCAGTTTCCTTTCCTTCCTCCCTCATATTAGACACAATATCCTTTTTTCCCCCCAAGGAAAAATAGATGTTTCGATTAGAGTTGTGTTTTAGCCAGACTGATCATTGCGGGCATCTCATGGGACCTATTTCCACTTTCCTTTCAGTTTTACAGTAGGTGAGAAAAGCCAGACAAACAACTAAAGCACTTAGCGACTGGGCAAACTGAACCTTATCATGATTTTTTTTTGGTACATAAATATAAGAAGCAGCTAGAAGTGTGTTCATTGGTCTCAACAACTGTGAATTTCTTCTCTGATTGCTGTGTAGGTGAAACGGCCACGTGGGGCAACGGCGCATACAAGGCTTTCAATGGGCGCATCTTTTCCTTTGAGTCTTCCTGCACGTACACGTTTTGCCGTGACTGTGCTGAATCCGGAGGAGACTTCAATATTGAGATCAAAAGGCACATGAACAATGAGATTGAAGAAATAAAAGCAGTGATTGATGATGTTGGCATCTCCATCTTGAATAATACTATTTTTGTTAATGACGAGAGGTAAATAACAGAAGGTATTGCCTAAGCGTTACAGAATAGTTTGGAGTATGAACCCAAACCAACCAGACACAAAAGCCAAGTTAAGCAAGGAATGGATGACAGGCCCCTCTTTCAATGCTTGTCTATGGCAACCGGTGTCTCTGTTGCACAATGATACGGCGCCTAGATTTAGTGTAAAACATAGATTCCACAAAATAGATACCAGAACATTGCCGTTTTCATTGACGGGCTCAATGCTAAACACAAAGTTGAAGCTGCACAAAGTAGAAATTGAAGAGATCACAACTCCTAGACTATTATTTTTCAGAAGTAACAACTCATGTTTCAGAGAGGCCAACTCTTTGGCAGCTTTCTGGGATCAGAAACAGAGAGACAATTGATATTCTACTCATGAATATTTCAAACTATTTGATTTTTTCCCCCTGACACCCAATCAACATTCTCCCTGTTCATCTTTCCAAAATACCAAGGCTATAGTATTCATTCCTAAACAGCCCTTGTTACAATAGAACTATTCTCACAACTTGTACACACTTTCTTTTTTAATACTTTTCAGGGTACAGGTGCCATACAGCAATAAGATGATTCACATTAAAAAACAAGGCGACCACTATGCTCTGGAAAGCCGTAGAAAAACCCTGTCTGTCAGGTGGAGCAAGAACAAACTCTCAGTAAGTGACCAGTGATTGTCTTTGAACTTTCTGGTTTTTGGTCTTTGGTTTTAGTCATAAACATAAACACATAAGGAAAGAATAAAGCAAGATTTGTTGATAAATCTTTATCTGCTCGCTGTGATGAGCCTTGTCTTGCCTGACAGTCCACAGTTCCTCCATATGCAGCCGCCTTAGATGGCTGATGATGGGGCGGACTATGCAGTAAAGGAAGGCAAAAGTGTTTTTATCAGATTCCTGAGTGTGCAAATGAGTGGGTCTCTGCATCTGTAGCTGTTTTTTGTGCCTTTCATTGGGCTCTTTCCCTTCTCTTTGCTTGTTTTGTCCTGTTCTGATGCGTTAGTTTTTGTTTTAACATTATATTATATTGTATTATTATATTATTATCCCTTTGAAGTCTGTTTTCTAATCAGAGACAGAAATGGTGTGAATCTAGATGGAAGGGGAGGTAGGGAGGAAATGAGAAGAATTGAGGGAGGGGAAACTGTAATCAGAATATATTACGTGAGAAAAAAAAATCTATTTTCAGTAAAGGGAGAGAAAAATCTGCCTCTTAGTGGTGGAACATGCCTTTAACCCAGCACTCAGGAGGCAGAGGCAGGTGGATCTCTGTGATTTCTGAGGCCAGCCTGATCTACAGAGTGAGTTCCAGGCCAGCCAGGACTGTTATGTAGAGAAACTCTGTCTCCAAAACAAAATAAAATAATCTGCCCGAGGACACAATAAGCATTGGACTCAGATTTGTTCCAAGTTCAAGCCACAGATTCTTTAAGAAAGACACCATTCCCCGAACTGATCAATGCACCCAGGACTGCATAGGAAGAGACCCTGTCTTTTGGTTTGGTTAAAAATTGTCTTGAGATATTTTCAATGTTTTCTGAAAATACCAATGTTATTTGTTTTTACAGCTCACTCTTTATAGCCAGTATACAACCTGTGGTCTTTGTGGCAACTTCAACAGCACTCCAGGTGAGACTGGACAGATTATTAATAAGAAAATTACTTTCTAAAAGAAAATTTAAATGTTTCACATTTAGATAAATTTACTAATAATTTGCATTTGTCAAAAGGAGAAGAAACAGAATCCAACTGTAATTTATCTTGCCAAGACTATATGTAGCTTACAAATAAAGTACAAATGAATATCTTGAAATCATGTTTTGATTTGCAGGTCAAGATATTAATGAGCACATTGCCAATAGTAAAATTTCCAATGACTGTCCCAGTGCTTTGAGTAAGAACGATGAAGTTTGCGAGGATGGAGTACAGGTAGGAAATCTGATTTCACCTTCCAGCAATTTTAGCACTAATCCTTCTGATTCATTAAAATAAAATTTATTGTATATTTAAAAATATATAGCATGATATTATGGGATGTCTTAGTTAGTCTCCTATTGCTGTGAAGAGACACCATGACCACAACAACTCTTATAGAGGAAAACATTTAACCGAGGTGGCGGCTTACATTTTGGGGGTTCAGTCCATTATCATCATGACTGGGAGCATGGTGGCATGCAGGCAGACATGATGCTGGCTGCATCTTGATCAGAAGGCAACAGGGAAGTGCACTGTCTCACTGGACATGGCTTGAGCATATATGACCCCTCAAAGCCTCCCCCCACAGTGACACATCTCCTCCAACAAGACCACACCTACTCCAACAAAGCCACACCTCCTAATAGTTCCACTCCCACCATTTTCTTTCAAACCACCACATGGGGTATATAAAAAGAGTAAAAAGATTACTGTAATGAAGAAAACTAATATATCCATTGTATCATATAGTTATTCATTTTTTTTGTAGTTGTGCCAAGAAGAGTTGAAATCTACTCATCTAGCATGAGTATCTTGCATGGTGCATTTGCTTTACTGTAGTCCTTACAATGGACACCTGAGCTCAGCATTTGCTCATCTTATGTATGTCTATGTTATAACTTCTGGCATGTGTCTCCCTACTTCTTCTTCCCAACCCATACCCACTGCTTCCTTTTCTCGATATATTTGACTGTCTTTGTAGATTCTTCATATAAATGAGATTATATAATTTAGAAAATTATTTCATAAAACATAACATTCTCCAGGCTCATATATTTTGTAACAGCCTATAATATTTTGTTCTTAGTTTTAGAGATGAATAATGTCCTACTGTGTAACCACAGATTCTTCGTCTGTTTCTCCTGCTATAGATGTTTAGGCTGTTTCCATTTCTTGGCTGTTGAGAATGGTGCTGTATGAATGTGAAACAGGAATATCTTTTTGAGGGCAGATTTCCCTGGGTCATTTGCCCTGACTTTTTGTACCCGAAACATCTATGCTGGTTTTTTGCAATGGCTATAAAAGAGTTCCTTCTTCGTATATGTGCTCACCATTATTATTTTCTGACTTCGTGTTGATAGCCATTCCGGTGGGTTTGGTCTATATTTACCTTTATTTACATTATGATCAATGACATTGAACACTTTCTCACACTCCTATTGGCACTCTTGTTTCTTTTTGGGAAATGGGAATTCAAACTATTGTCCTAGGTCTAGTTGGGTTGTTTCTGCATTACTGAGTTATATGAGCTCTTAATCAACTTTGCAATCAGCCCTTTATCAGATCATGATTTGCAAACATTTTCCTGATCTCTATGTTCCCATTGAAAATTGTATTTCAAAATATACATTGTTTCTTTTGCTGTGCATGAGAAATAAAGGCAGTGCATTTATTAGTTTTTGCCTTGGTGGCCTGAGCTTTTAGCATGACATCTAAAGGTCACTCCAAGCTAGTGGCTAGGAGTGTTTTCTTTCGTTGATCTTAGGTTTTTATATTTTCAAGTGTTATCTTTTTCATCTATTTTGACTTGATTTCTATTTCTGGTGTGAGATTGGGACTCTATTACTTTCTTTTGTGTGTGGCAATCTTGTTTTCCAAACATTACATTGTCTTGGTGGTTTGTCAGAAATCAGTTGGTCACATGATTTAAAATGTGGGACCACTTTTCTGACCTGCTGATCTAAGTACCATAGCAAAGGATCCCATTTTTATATTTAGATGCCCCCATGCTCTGGAGACTCCTACCCTCATGCTGGAATTCTGTCCTGTGTCATGGAGATCCTGCAGTTTTGAATCTGTAGGTTCTTCCCCTTCACAAGCTCCAACAGTTCACTGATGTGGTGGATGTTGGGGTGGGATAACTCATAGCCCTGGTTCTGGGTCTGAGTGGTAGCTGGGTTGGTCTGCCTGCCAGCTTTCCCTCATCATTACTACCTGGGTGAGCTCTCCAGCACTTGGCTAGCACACCCAATGCATCCTACAGCAAAGAGCTGGGCCACTTCTCCTGTTCGCAGGTCCCCAGAGCCAGCCTATTCACACTCACACCACCTGGATCATCAGTTCTTCTCTTTTGCCCAGGCAGACATGGAGCCCTCTTTCCCCTGACTGCTGCAGGGGGTATATGAGGAGGGGTAGATTCAGCTCTCCTGTTCTCATGCCCTCAGGGCTGGCTCATCTGCTCCCTGGACAACAGGGCCAGCTCTAGTGTGCTGCAGTAAGGGGCTAGGACAGCCCTCTCACTTTCGTGATCCTGGGGCCAGCTCTCTCTCCTGCTGCAGGTAGCATGGGGCAAAGTGGGGAAGGACATCTTTCCTTTATCTGTGCTGCCACAAGGCAGATAAGGGGAGGGGGTCAGCTCTGCTGCCCTCATGCGCCCAGAGCCAGCTCACATACATCCTGACAACAGGGTCAGCTCTAGTGTACTGCCCAGAAGGGGTGCAGATCCCACTTGGGAGCTGTGAGGCCAGTTTTCTCACCTGCTGCAGGTGGTATTGGGTAAGTGCAGGGGTCGTGGGAGGGCAGAGACATCTTTTTCTCACTCATACCACCACATGGCAGATAGAGGGGGTGGCAGGGTCAGCTCTCCTACTCTCATACCCTCAGAGTCATCTCACAAGAGACCCCAACAATAGGTTCAGCTCTAGTGTACTGCCCTGGTGAGTTGCATGCCAGTTGGTAAGGGGTAGGTCTATCTTTCCTGAGTATGTGTTTGGGGAGTTGTGTGCAGCTCTCCCCTGAAAGGCAGGGGCAGCTCTCTTGTTGCAGTGTTCAGCCAGCAAGGGCCAGGGTCATCTATCCTAGGGCTAGCGAAGGGTGGGGCTGACTCAAAGCAGCTCATGGATTTCCACACATGTGGTACTTATGACCCCCCTGTGCTAACACTGACCATGGACACCATCACAAACCCCAGCTGCAGCAGGACCATAGACCCAGACATGGCCCTAGGCAGTGGCCCAGACCAGATGTCTCCATGGCCCCAGATGGCAGCACAGGCTACCCAGATCAGTATGGCCCCCACAAGGACATGGCCATCGGATACTGAGATGGTCTCAGCAGAATAACAATTCTTGTCTACAAATTTTAAAACAGCCATGAAGATATAGGAGAAAATTCCCAAAAGCAATTTGTGAAAAATATTCTCAATGATTCTCTTTTCCTTATTTTCAGCTGATTTGGGGTGTGTGTGTGTGTGTGTGTGTGTGTGTGTGTGTGTGTGTGTGTGTGGATTTTATCAGTCTTCCCCGGCTGAAATTGGTCCAAACTACACAGTTGTTAAACAGGATCTTTTATGTTTTTCTGAAAAAATTTTGATAACAGAAAATACCATGTGGTCGTTGAAATATGTTGAAATTCAAATGTTTTGAGGCACAGCATAATATGTCTTTCTTTTGTTTACTGACAGAGGACAAATAAATTATTTGTAGTAGAAAAGCAAATGAATATCATTTCCACTAAAAAAGGACACTGTAGTTTATGGTTACCTAGCTGCCTGCCTGCTCATCAAATTGAAGCAGATTGACAGTTCAGGGCCAGGATCTCTTTTGGGAATTGTGCTTTTCCATCAGTTGCCATGCATTCCCTAGCATTGATAAGTTTCATCCTACCCACCTGTTTTCTCCAGATCTAAGACTCACTGCAGTGTAGGAGACAGATGGATAAATCTAGGCGATAAATCAAACAAATAAATCTGAAGCCATCATAGCCATCTGAAGTGTCAGAGGTAGACCTTTCTTCTGGGACTGTCTTTATCAATTATACAACCTAAGTTTAAAGTTTCAGTTAGAATTCATCGGCCCTACTCCACAAGAGTTACAGAATGTTATATTATGGCAAACAAAATTTCTGTATCTATCTTTTCTTAGAAATCCACCCTATTGCCCTTTTTTTCATTATGTTTTAATGAAACGTGCTTTGCTTTGCAGTATTGTGACAAAATTATTGGAACTTACTTTGAGAAATGTGGGAAGGTTTCCCCTTCATCCAGTGAGTACAAAAAGGTGTGCGTTGATGAGTATTGTCGAACTGGAGGAGGCAAGGGCACTACATGTAACACCTTTTCAGAACTAGCCCGACTGTGTGCCTACGATGGTCCTGGTGTCTTTGAACACTGGCGAGATGATTCTGCTGTAGTTTGTGGTAGGTGTTTTTTTTTTTTCTTAGCAATAATAGGTTACAAAAAAAATGCTTTCTTAAAGAACTCACTTTATATCTGAAAATATTTCTAAAAACAGTTTTCTTGAATGATTCTAAGGCCCAGAAGGGGAGTGAGAGCTAAGGAAGTCTTGTCTCTAACATGTGTTTATAAGGAGATTGAGGCTCATTTATTGAGCCTTGTTGCAGAATTTTGTCTTAAGGTCTTAATTAGTATGCTCATCAGCAAAACATAAGGGGAGAAATATAAATCCTATAAAATGTCACTGATTATTTTTTAGTAGTCTACTCTTGTTGTTATTTTAAAAGATTAGTAAAATTTAAATATGAGCTTTATACAAAGTATAAGTACGATTTATATATACTTTGATGTTTGGGCTAATCTTTATAGAACTGAATATCAAATTCAACATGTGATGAAATTAAATGGTACCATTTACATTCCCTCTAAATTAAAAACTATTCAGTGAAATAATGCTTGAGAAGTTGGCATCATTTAGTTCTATGGAGTGTCTAGAAAGATTGATTTGTGTCTTGAAAAGCAGACTCAATGAATCCCATTGGAAAGGGTCATTAGGTAACTGTATATTTACTCTGCTTATTTTCCTTTCATTTCTGAGTATACATATTTCTTTACATCTTCAGAAAAGCAACAATGTCCAGGAAAGCACATTTACAAAGAATGTGGACCTTCAAATCCTCCAACTTGCTCTAATGTGGCTCCTTTTCAAGACAGTGAATGTGTGAGTGGCTGCACTTGCCCAGAAGGTAATTTATCCTTGAGCATATTCACATCAACACAGAAAAACTAGACAGAATATAGCAAGTTGTAGCTCCAAAATGCTATTGGAGCAGGTGAATTATTCCTATCTATCCTCTGACAACCCACTCAAGAGTGTCAGATACTTTCAAAGCTCATGTGTGTTCTTATCTCTAAGTACTGAGTTCCTGAATTCCACCAGACTACATTGGACTTAATAGGTCCTGTCTTTATGGGGCAGTAACTCAGAAGGCTCAGAAGGTTTTCATCTATATTCCTGTCAGTCAAAATGAAAACGATCACTTCCACAAGAAAGCAGCATTTCACGACACACCTTCACTTGCTTTAGAAAGAGTTCAGGAATGGCTGCAGTTGTTAAAGAATTCATTGATGTTAACATAATTTTAAGACTACATCTATTTGTGTATGCTAGGTTATCTGTTGGACGATATTGGTGAGAAAGGAAAGTGTGTATTAAAGGAAAAATGCCCCTGTGAATCTAATGGAAAAGTGTACAAATCAGGAGAAGTCCGAGAAGGCCCCTGTGGTTCTCAATGGTATGTGTGTGCTTTTTGATTACATTTTATGAACATGAAGATAGTATCAAGGTTTTTATTCACACTTAAAGTTATTCAAATTTTATAAGGCAAAAATGATGCCTCTTAGAATTGTAGCATGCCATGGGAAAAAAAGAAAGAAACAAACAAAAAGCAATTGTCAGTGTTTTTAAATTCCTGGCATGCTACTCTTACAGATTCGGGGCAATAAATCAATTTCCCAGGAATTCTCAGATTTAAAATTATGATGATTTTGAACACACTTCTACTAATCTTCATACCCTACTATTTGGATAACTGAACTTGTGTTTAAAGCATAAATACGCTAAGTTTGGTAGTGCTTATGAAGAACTACAGGAATATTTAACACCTAAAAACATAATTTAAAGTGAAGGTCTCCAGTAAGTGAACAACCCCTCACAGTCACTTGTGGACACTGCTCACTGAAGGATCACTTTGTATGGAGATTGTGTTAGACCTTGAGAGGTCATACAAAGGACTTGCACAATGTACAGCATACATGAACTCATTAGTAAACATTTTGGTTTTTATAGCCTTTCCTCTTCTCCTTCATGTTACACTTTAACCACATTACATTGGTTTACAGCTACACATGTATCCACTCTAGGCTAAGATCTGAATATGAGGGTGAACATGTGGGTCTCTTTCTTTCTTTCTGTGGTAACCTCACTTAATGTTATTATACATCCTAAGTCCCTCCATTTTCTCACAAATTTTGTGAGCATACTTCTCTTTAGAGCTGAATAGTTTTCCATATATGTACTAGATTGTTATTATCCATTCATCTGTTGATGGACAATTAGGTTGGCTCCACTTTTGAGCTATGGTGAGTAAAACAACGAAATGGGGAGCAAATATCTCTATTGTAGGGAGTGGAGGTCTCTGGGTCTATGCCCAGGAGTGCAATAGCTGTAGTTCTATTTTTGATGTTTTGAGAAGTAATGTCTTCTTAAGGCCTCTGAACATCTCTTAATACCTCTGTGCCTCTGTATGACATTACAAAGTACAAGTTTACACCATAGTTTGTACCAGTTGCCTGCTCACTAAAAATAGAGCACAGAGACAAATCCCTGAAATCCAGTGTATAAGATTTATATATGGTTAATTCATGAAGTTATGACTATTTTTCCTCAAAGGAACTGAAGTAGTTTAAAATATCATGATATTAAATCAATGACCCACCGTATCAGGGCTATTGCTAGGTGGGAAATGAGCTCATGGGGTTTGCTCACATATCGGCTTTGGATGGGATGTTCTAATGTCATGGTGTTTGCTCAGCATACAGAAGATTTACCTTTGACTCACCTTTACATTCCACAGCACATGCCAAGAAGCAAAGTGGTCTTGTACCGAAGCTTTATGTACTGGGATATGTAAAGTGGAAGGGAGCTTATTTACCACTTTTGATAACAATGTATTTAGCCACCCTGGAGACTGTCATTTCTTGGCCATTCATGTAAGTACTTGATTACATCTGTGAAAACCGAGCAAATTCTCAACTAATTTAAAGCACAATTGATTTTATGTTATTTATTTTTGGTAATTTCATACATGTATACAATGTATTTAGAGCATATCTATTTCCCACTTTACCGTCCCAGATATGTCCCTGCAAATCAACTTCATTTCCTTCTTCTTCTCCTTTCTCTCCTTCTCCTCTTCTTCTTTGTAACCAATTGACTGCAATTGTCACTTCCATTACGCACATGGGTATTGGGGTTATCCACTAGAACATGGGCAACCTACTACGGACTACATCCATAAAGAAAACTGACTCCTTCTCTCTCAGCAATCATCAACTTTCAATAGCTCCTCAGTCAGTGTGAGCTCCTCCCCTGTCTGTACTGGAATGTTGACAGCTTGATGTTGCATGGGTCTTGTGTAGACAGCCACAGTTGCTATGTGTTTATCAGTGAAATGACTCTGTTACATCCAGAAGACATTAGTTTGTATCAGTCCTTCACAACTTCTGGATTTTACAATTTTTTCTTCCCTCACTTCTATGATGTTCCTTGGGTCTTCTTGGGAAAGGGTTGTGACATGAATGTTTCATTTAGGGATATATAAAAAAAGTCATTTTTTTTTTATACTTGGACCAGTTTGAATCTCTACTACTATCTAGTGCAAAAACAAGCTTCTTTGATGAGAGGTGAAAACTAGTCTAATCTATGGGTGTAAGGATAGGTACTTAGAAAGACATTTGGTCCGGTTGAGTCCTAAGAGTAGTAGGTTCTGCCCAAGGGTGTATCATCTCCCCAGCACAGATTCTTGGTCAGGGTTAGAGTTCCAGGCATGAGTTCCCTCTTGTGGAGCAAGTCAAGCCTTAACACCAGTTAGAAAGATGTTAGTTGCCCCCATAATATTCATGCTGCTATTGCAGCAATTGCCTGGCTAATTATAGCTCACAGGGTTCACTGATGTACAAGACTGTTGATGACTTTACTCTTCTAGCAGCTTGCATAGTTCCTGCTGACACTAGGAAAGCTGGCTGGCAGGGAGGAAGTAGCTTTTCTACTGAGTTACTATGTAAAGACATAAGAAGCAAACAGCCTTTGGATTAGTGATTACACATTTCAGTGTCTGTTTTCTGTCACAAAATTGACATTGACATCATTGTACATTAATGTTATAGCATGTGCACTCTGAAAATTTCTGGCTGAAATAAAATTCAACAAGTAAAATCTTAATTTGTGAACAAACCTCTGAGTGCATAGGAAAGTTGTTGTACTTTTCTGCCTGTCTGCATATAGTCAACAGTACTTTATATAATCTGGTCTTGATGTCCTAAAAGCATCTTCTTCATTATTTCCTGAATAATATTTTTAGCCTTTATTATACAGTGTGGTCCCATTATAGGATGACTGCTGTGTTTACATTCAGTCTCTTCTTAGTGTTAAAATCTCCAGTTATCTGAAGCCCAATAACAGGGCAGTTCCGTTTTGTAGCTCCTGCTTTCAGTGGACAGGAGAAAAAGGAATTGTGTTTCATGCTTCTGGTAAGAAATGAAAATGAACTGAATTTGTGTACTGCAAAGAGAGAGGAGGGGGTTGATATGGGAAAGTTCCACCAAATGTAGTTCCTACTTACTACTCAAGATCTGTGTTCCAAAGTGATGACTCCTGTGTATCAAACATTGTTTCTTTTCTTTCTTCTTATGCTCCTTTTGTTCATTCTGTGAGGACTAGGGATGGGGAAAGAGGAAGAGAAACCCACCAAGGCATACAGAATGCTTGCTGTTTTCAGAGCAGTGTTTCAGAGACCTGCATGTCAGAGCTGGAAATCTCCTGACATTTCACACCAAAATTTACAGCCTTCCAAGTTAAAAAAAAAATCTCTTTCATTTGTATCTATACAGATTCTACAGACTACTCAGAGATTCAAAAGCCATTTTACCTTTAATTCCTGATAAGGCCCACAAAGCACCACAATTATGCTGGATGCAAGAGTGAAGATAAAACATTTTGTAGTAAAATGCCCATCAGTTGTATGGAGCATAGATTCCACATGACACCCAGACCATTTATAAGATGCTTGTCTGCTCCTATGGGTGTGCCAGGGGGCTGGGTGAAGTTGCTAGATTCTGAAGAGATTGTGCAGATTTAAGTTCATTGTGAATAAATCACATAGAAATAGCGTGTGGGAAAATTCTTGAACAAAAAAATAATTGTTTTACAGAATGAAAATATTTCTATTAGTGTTGAACTTCATCCATGTGACAATGGTCAGACTGGATCATGCTTAAAGAGTGTTACGCTTCTTCAAAACTCAGTAAGTATTTTTACCTTCTGAAGATTTAGCCTGAGGAAAATCAGATTGATGACTTCACAAACTAAAGTCTGGAGAGGGCTGAGGTTTTGGCTCAGCGAGTAGGAGAACTGGATCCAAATGTATGGGCATCTGAGGTCCAATGTCGAGGACCTTGGAATAGGTAGGCCATAACCTCAGCCCTCTGGGTCAGAGGAAGAAGGATCACTGGGGCCAAAACTAGTGAGATCCAGGTTAAGCAAAAGACCCTATCTCATTGGGATAAGTCAAGGAGTGATAGAGCAAGATACCTAATGCCTTGCTCTGACTTATGCAGGAAAATGCATAGGCACATACATTCTCCCACACACATGTAACTCCCCTGTCCCTGACACACACTAAAATTCAAAATTAAAAAAAAAGAAGAAAACATAGTTTGGGAACTGGAGAGATGGTTCGGTTGATACTTTTTCTGGCCTTCATCCCTAGAATCCATGTGAGAAAAAAGAATGTTCAGCCTAGCTGCATTGCCTATAATTCCAGGACAGGGGAGGCAAAGACAGAGCAGGGCCCTGGGGCTTGCGATTAGCCAGTCTTGACAAATTGACAAGCTTCAGATTCAGTGAGAATCTATATCTCAAAAGAACAAGGTGTGTGGCAACTTAGGAAGACACCTGGTGCAAGTCTGTGGCCTTCCCCCTCCTATCACCCCTGCCCCCCCACACACATGTGCAAAAAAGGAGTCTGAAGTTTTGAAGAATAATGACTTTGCCTGGATGCTGATACAAACAGTTATCACCTTGGTTTCAGTTTCCATGTCTGTAAATTGGAGACAAGTGTTCCTTTCCAGGGCTGATATGGGAAGCATGAAGCATAGTGTAAGAAAGGCTGCAAAGATATTCATATATCTATGCTATAGAATTCAGCATGTTTTAGTGGCATAAAATTTCAGCTTCACCTAGCACATTAAAGCCATGCTGAGCTAATGAATTGTTTTAAATATTAGTCTCTTTCAGGTAGCAGATTTGTGTTCAATAGTGATGGGACAGTCACAAAGGATGGTGTTAGAATTAAAGGTTATTACTATTCAGGTAAGGTGAACAATGGCATTTAAAAACACATATAAGATGCATTTATTTGCTTGGTTTCTAAAACTGACATGCTAATTTTTATGGTAAATTATTATTCAACAGATGATGTACAGATCTTCAATGCATCTTCTTTATACATGCAAGCAGAAGTACTCTCTCTCCTAAAAATGCAAATACAAATCTCTCCTGTGATGCAGTTGTATGTGTCCATGCCTCCTGATGCATTCACAGACACTGTTGGTAAGTCTGCCAAATAGTGTTATTTCAAGGATCAAGCATCATTCATTTAATGTGGCAATGTAATATTAAAAAAATACCTTTTACATTCTGAGAGGTCACATGTGACATAAGACTGCTAACCTGCTGTGTGCTCAGCCTGTTTATTTAACCTGCGTTTAAGAGAACAATGTAACCATCAACCTTTGTCCATCCAGAATCAATACCAAAAGGTGTTCAACAATTCATGCATTAAAAAATTTTGAATTAAGACTTTTATTTAGGGGCTGGAGAAATGGCTCAGTGGTTTAGGGCCCTTGTTGCTCTTGCAGAGGGCCTGGGTTCAACTCTCAGCACCCACATGGTATCTCAAAACCATCAGTAACTCCACTGCCAGTTGATTTGATGCTCTATCTTCTGACTCCATGGGTACAAGGCATGCAGGTGGTGCACTTACATGCATGCAGGCAATGCACACATTCATATGAAAGGAAATCTAAAAATATTTAAGGATTGTAACTTATTTAACATTTTGAAAATGTATTTTATATGTACGTTTACTAGTAGTGTATATGTTAAGACCTTGGCATGTAGCTGAATAAATGAAAATACAGTATATATAACTTCAAAACTCAGGGGCAAGTGATTACTATTTGCCTTTAGGTCTCACCACATGCTCATTCATTTTTCTGAAGTTTCATGTCAAATAAAAATGAGCTCCTCTTTATAGTCATAAAGGTTGAACAAATAAATGTCAAGTCCCACAGAAGGGTTAATGCATACATGGTACAAGCTTTATGCTACATTTTTACTTTAAAAGGTAAGGTATTTTCATGTAGACAAAGAAAGCAACTTGTGGACTGGACAGCTTTGACAAGGAAGGCACATAGCCTTAGGGCGATTCACCTCTCTAAAGTTACCATGACCAGCAACCACGTACCATGTATGGCACATGGTTTTCTGTATTCTGGAATTTTTGTGAAAGACCAATGAATGAAGTCTGAAGTGACGTAAGATTTTACTGAATGTGTGCCACTATTAACGAAACATATTTCAAGTATTTCTTACAGTGTTTTCAATAAAGTAGCCAAAAGGCTGAGTAGGTGGAAATACTAATCTTTGCTCTGTGTCGTTGACATCATCCAGGTCTTTGTGGTTCCTACAACAATAAGGCAGAAGATGATTTCATGTCAAGTCAGAAAATTCTGGAGAGTACAGCTCAGGCATTTGCGAATTCCTGGGAGATGATGTCTTGCCCTAAGGGGAGCCCCTCGTCCTGCGTCAGCATCGAAACAGGTGACAGCCATTGAGAATCAAACTCTGCTGTTCACAGTTGGTGATGGTACTTGTAGAATTATGCTGATAATCATATGAACACATCAGATCACCTTGCCTCTAGCTCGTATTTCTCACCCTGTCCCAGTTGTAGAAGAAATAGGGAAGTAGTCTGGTTTGGATGTGTGTCTAGAAAACCCATTCTTCATTGGTAACTCACCTCTGTCGTCTTTTACCGTACCCTCTCTCTTTCTCACACTATTACAGGACAATAGGGCTAGAGGAGGTTTTAGAAGTTATTCAGCTTATTCATTTCCCTTCCTTTTTTAGTGGTGCAAATGATCATTGGTTTTCAGTGATGTACACCACTTGTTCAGTAATACCAATTCCAACACAGTCCTAACTACAACCTTGTAGCATGAATCTTAAAAGTTCTTATTAATAAAAATAAACCCAGGGCCAGGTATTGAGTAAAGCTGGAAGATCAGAGAAGCAGAACAAGCCACAGCCACCTCACCTTGCCAGTTCCTCAGCTGATCCTGTTTCCTCAGACTGGAAGCTTCTGAGTCCTCATCCAAATGGATCTCAGCTGAACTGCTTCTCAAAAGCCTGAAGCTTAACCAGCTGAAGTTCTGGTCCTCGTGCCTTAAATAACTTTCTGCTTTCTGCCATCACTTCCTGGGATTAAAGTCTCTTGTTTCCATGCCTGGCTGTTTCCAGTGTGGCTTTGAACTCAGAGATCCAGAGAATCTCTGCCTCTGGAATGTTAGAATTAAAGACATGTGTGCTACCATTTTCTGGCCTCTATATCTAGTGGCTGTTCTGCTCTCTGACCCCAGATAAGTTTATTAGGGTACACAATATTTTGGGGAACACAATATCACCACACAACCTGACACATATGTGGTTCCTGTTTTAGCCTGTTAAAGGCTTTCACTAATGCTAGTTTGTTTATTCCCATACCAACTCACAGAGGACATGATGTGGCCACCATCTATATTAATACAAATGTAGATGGTACAGGACAGAGGCCCTGGACTTCCTAGGGATCACAGATGACGCTCAATCTAAGCACTTGGAAACCAGTGACACTGAGGTGCCTCCTGTGGTTGTGGCAGTTTTCATGGGGGCTTCATGTCACTCCTTTTATAAATAAGAAATGCAGTGGAAGCAAGCTTACAATTTGTGAATGTGCTAATCATTTTTTTCAAAATGATTATATATATATATATATAAGACAGAGTCTGATCAATTTACAATATTCTTTTAAATTATTAAGGCAGTCCCAAATGGAAATATCATCCACTAATTTCAAATTGACAACTAGTTGGTAGAACTATTGTTGTAATTTCTATTTGGGGAGGTTTAGTAGCTGTGTTATTTAGTTTGGGGTTATTTCAATAAAAGAATTATGAGATTACACAAAAGAGTGCATTTCTTATAAAGTTAGTTTATGTTCAGTAGAAAAGAGGCCAGCGTTTTGTAGTGTATATAAAATAAATCTGATTTTCAAGGTATTACATTTGAATTAGTAAAAGCATCAATTAAACTGAAGTTGGAGAAGATGTTATTAATAGTAATAGTTTCAGAAAAAGTGGAGTGACAGGTTGTTGCCTATTTGCCAGAATACTAGTCACAGGTGCTTTCTCTGTCTCTGTCAAGAGGTCAGACTCCTTTATGCTTAAAATCATTATGGGAAGCATTTGCTATCACCTCCCTTTTTATGAATTTTCTTTCTGTGAACTTAGTATGGGGTAGATATTTATAAATGAAAAACATATCATTTAAACACTTTTCAGAAAATGCATTTTGTTTATTGATCCTGGTGATGCTATGTCATGTGACATGGATGTAACACAGAAGAGGTGGCAGGTGAGCCACGTTAGTGCACAGCAAAGAGACACTTAAGATGTCATGTACTTCATTATGTTTATTTTTATATAGAAACTACATTTCAGAGAAATGTGAAACAGGTTGCTAGAAGAAGCCAGTAGTAATGAAGATTTTACCTTTGAGTGTGCTGTTTGCACTGTGTTATTTTAAACATAGTGACATTGAATTTGATTCATCACAGCAACTACTTTGAGGGCAAAACTCTTCATGGAGGTAGATCTCTGAGAAATATACAGCTTTCCTTTAAATTAAAGACACTTTGGTATTACCGAGGCTAACCTTGGATACTTTCACTTCCTTCCAGAGGAGTTTGCTGAAAGTAACTGTGGAATTCTTCTCAATTCAACTGGGCCTTTTGCTGCCTGCCATCAAACTGTGAACCCCAAATTCTACTATGAGGTATGTGATGGTCTAGCACTAACAGCCTTTATTAGAAATATTTTGCTGATTTTGACAAAGCATGCACATCTTAAACATTTTCAAATTATTACTATTGTCAATAGATTAAGGTATATGCTTAAAAATAGAATTAGAGGCTTTTTGTTTGTTTGTTTTTGTTTTTTTTCCAGACAGGGTTTCTCTGTGTAGCTTTGGAGCCTGTCCTGGATCTTGCTCTGTAGACCAGGCTGGCCTCAAACTCACAGAGATCCACCTGCCTCTGCCTCCTGAGTGCCGGGATTAAAGGCATTTACCACCACTGCCTGGCAAGTATAATGATTTACTTAAGTATTAGGTAAACTAACTTCATAAATATAATGCTGGGAAAGAATCTCAAGCAAGAAAAAGATTGAATAACTTCTCCTTTTTCCTTTTTAAAGTGGATTAATAATTAATTAACTATTTTAAATATTTAAAAACATTTCTGAATGTCTCAAAGTACAGTTTAATTGTGGGGTCAGGGATGCCTGGAGATACAGTCAGCTGTAATACTCAAATTGCCTGTTCCTCTGACTCACTTTAGAATGTAATATGTATATATATTTCTTTTAATTTGAAAGGAATGCAAAAAATACACGTGCTCTTGTGAAAACAGCCAAGACTGCCTGTGCACAGTTTTAGGGAACTATGTGAAGGCATGTGCTGAGAAGGAAACGTATCTAGCAGGCTGGAGAGCTGGACTATGTGGTGAGTAGGAGAGAGACTGTCTGTGGCAGATGCCTCCGCTTCCTCCTCCGCTTCCTCCTCCTCTTCCTCCTCCGCTTCCTCCTCTGCTTCCTGTGTGCACCTGTGCTGGGCTGCGGAGACACATGCATTTACAAACTTGTGCCCGATACTTTCAAAAACTATTTCTTTAAACGATTACGGGGTCTCCCTTTTCCTTGTGGTCTCTTGGCCACCAGTCCCCAAGGGCACAGGGAGCAGAGGCAGCATGCAGGGCCTGTGAGTACAATGGAAATAGTCCTCCAGGAGTCAGCTTCAATGTTACAGCTCAACTTTATTTCAGAGTAAGGGGAATATGTAGATGGGGACAGCAGCTGGGGCATCACCTAATTTGCATTTGGCAGCATGGTCCTACCTTACAGCTGGAGCACAATATGTGATCATCATATGGATAGCAAGGGGAGAAGGGGAGCACTTGCAGGGGGCAAAGGCCACACTTATAATAAGTCAGGCATCCAGACTCAGGGACAGCTTTTAAATAAGGTTAGGCATCTGGGCCTAGACACTATCCAAACAGGGTAGGGAGGGAGTCCTGCTGCAAAGGGAGTCCTCCATAGTATGTTGAGCTCAGAGAGCCATCCAGACGTGGTGAACTGCAACCTTAAGCAGCAGAGCCCTCCAACAAACGATCATCGGCAAATCTTGAATTTTAACATTTTGATTCATTCCTTTACTTAATGTATTTGTATTTTTAAGATGGTAGGTAGTTATAGGAATATGCTTAATTACTGTATACTGAAATTTACATAATTTTTCATTTGTGAATTTGGAGCCCAAATATTATAGTTAAAATATGTATCATATTCCTTGAATATGATGTCATAAAGATTTACCCGAGAAAAAAATAACAACAACCAAAACAATCTTCAATGGGTCCGGCGTGGGGGCTTGTGCTCCATTCCCAGTACTTGGAAGGCTGAGGCAGGAGGATTTCTGTGAGTTTCAGGACAGCCTGAGCTACGTAGTGTATTGCAGGTCATCCTGGGCTACATAACAAAATCCTGTCTCACAAAAGCCTGCAGATTTGAGGAAGCCGATATCCTCTAGACTTCTCAGAACTTCATGGCCCATGTCCAATCAGCAATAACGCTGGTCACATTCCCTCCAGGGTCTCTTCACAGCTTAAATTTCCTCTGCCGTTAATTTAGCAAAAGGAAATGCCCTTTCTTTTCAGCTTGCCTAATTGTAATGAGCTTCTTTGGTATTTCCCTTCTGTTCCTTCTAATCTATATTCTAGGGTGAAAATCAGATAAGCTTTAAAGTAAAATCACATAAGACATAAAACCATGCCAGTTGTTTCTCCTGGTTTAAAGGGTCCTATAACCACCGACAGTGTCCCTAGACTTGGAGCTTCCACCTTTGGTAGGCTCTTTGTGAGAATCATGCTGTCCCCCAGCTTAGGCTGTTGTCTTCGTGTAGAATTACCCTTCTCTGGGCTTCAGTTCCCCTGTTAATTGACCCATTCTCCTCCCTCAGTACAGATCTTAGCTGTGCATGGAGACAGTATGCATCTTCCCTTTTATGACACATGCCACAGTTGTCCTTAAAACAGGAACATAAGCCACACAAGAGCAGTGTGTATTGCCTACCCTGCCTGTGGGCTTTGTCTGAAACACTGACTGAACAGAATGAATAAAATAAATAAATAAACCAATGAGCAAATCAATTTTTCTACACTCATAACTTTAATTATGAATAATCCACTCTGTTCTTTATAAACATCAGTGTGAAGGAAGTTCTCTTCCTGAATGTACACATAGTAACTGTTCTTATCTCTTCCCCACAGAGGTTTCTTGTCCAAGTGGCCTTGTGTTTGACTACAAAGTGAAAACTTGCAACAGTTCTTGCCGATCGCTCTCACAACGAGACAGAAGCTGTGATATAGAAGACATTCCAGTTGATGGATGCACTTGCCCTGAGGGGATGTACCAGAACAGTGAAGGAAACTGTGTTCAGAAATCTGAGTGTGACTGCTATGTTAATGATGAGATTGTACAGCCTGGCAAATCCATCCTTATTGATGACAACAGATGGTATGTAGTAGATTATATAGACACTCATTATGATGCCCACAGCAGATAACATAGATGCTTGTTATGACACTGACAAGGAAATGTGTTCTTACCGGTATGAAGTCTTCCTCAGATCTACCATAGTTTTCATTTTCCATTTATAATTGCAGCTGGTTGGTTCTTCTTTTATTCTGGAGGATCCACTGTACCATAGTGAACATACATGGTTGGTTCTACTCTGCTTTAAACATCAGGAGGAATATGTTCTGGCAGATTTTATAAAGGGACAATGCAAAATGATTTTATACTCAGATCTACTATTTTAGTCTGTAGCATTCTGCAAATACTTGTTAAGTGCCTATGTCTAGAGCTCGTATGGATTGCTAGAATTACAAAAGGAAGTAGTCATTGCCTTACACACACAAACTAAGCAAGGTGTTTATTACAATGAAGTAAGTAACAGTCACTGTCTGAGGAGTTGGAGAAGCTTCCCATGTTAGGTTTTGGGGGGATGTGCAAATAATGGGGTCCAGACCATGATGTCTAAAAACCAGTAGCAAATTTTATTCCAAAAATTCACCATGGGGAGAAAAAGCTTACCAGTTTACTGGGACCATAGCCAGAGTTTGGGCTTCTGAACTATGGCAAATAGGGGCAGGTTTTGAGCCCCTTTTTACAGTAAGAGGTCAGCATTAGGCATGGACAAGAAAATTTTTACAATTTTGAAGTCAAACTTTTAGAGACATATTGCATTTTAAGATTTACAATTCCTGCTAACAAGGTCTTAGAAGGTTCCCACTTACTGATGTTTGTAGAAGCCTATAGTCTTTCTTGACACAATTAATAGTGTTTGCCCGAAACCTGCACTTTCCTGACACAGTTGGTTTCCCATAGCAGGGAAGGGTATGAAACAAGGCAAAGCAGGTCGTCGCATAGGGGTGCTGAGGTAAAGTTTATTGGATGGGATGAGATGTACTGGGAGTCATGCAGACCTCAATAAAAGTAAACTTTATTCTCCGGCGGTTGTTAGTTGTAAGTGGCAGGAGGGTTATCCTCTCTACCCTGGCTGCTGAGAGCCATTGTACAAAGACAGATCTGCTGGCTGTAAAGCAAAGAAAACCATAGTTCAAAGTTCATCCCTATTTGCCGGCAGAGTCGATGGCTGTCAGCTTCCATCTCTTTAGACTATCACTTTATATTCCTATGTTTCTCTCTTCCTGTTCCCGGACCTTTCACCCAGAGGAGGCTGGAATTTGAATTCTCCTAAGCACTGACTGTTGTTCCAGACAAAACGGATGTGTGGAGAGTGATTTCGGTGAAAAGAATGATATAGCAAGTACTTAAAAATTACTGGGCACAGGGGCTATTGTACAAGATTAAGCTAGAAACATAGACAATGGCCAGGCTGAGGCCTAGATTCCAAGTTCACAGACATGTGGTTGGGGTTTGAGGATAAGTTTTCTTTCCCTCTGTACTTGCAATCAAGTGGTGATGAACCACAGGCTATCTCTCCACAGCAGTGGCATCTCAGTGCTAGTGATCCAGACCACCATCAGCTTTTGCCAGAACTACTGGGTTACTACTTAACTCTTTTTTCCTTTCCTTTGACTTCCTCTCTACCTGAATCACCTTCCCTGCTCTGTGACCAGAATGTCTAAGGTAAAGCACAGTTTTGGTTGGGCCACTAGCCTTCTTAGACAAATGACTGACAGCTGCTGAAAGAACAGAAAGACACTTGCATATCATTTAAGGCCTTACATGATCTTGTCCCAACCTACTCACTTCCCCCGTTGAGTATCATCCTGCTTGCATCCTCAGGAAATTCTTAGTAGCCTTTGAAACACACCTTGTTCTTTCTGCCATCAGTGTTTCATATTCCCTGCTAGATCAGATTCTGTGGTTAAACTTTCCATGAAGTTTTCTGACATCCATAGAAGTTGAACATTTCTGCAGTACTTGTAAGGTTACACCTTATAATAATAATAAATAAATAAATAAATATATATATATATTATTTTAACTGAGTCACATTTGTCCAATTGCTCTTAAACTTTAATGTTTAAAGAGATAAAAATAAATGGTTTCCTTCTATTTCTAGTGTCTGCCAGGATGGAGTGCTTCTTTGCCAAACTCCCCTTGATTTGACCATACGTAAGTGGTTTTTATTGCTGTTATTATAGTACTTGTTGGCTTGATTTCCCATCCATGCCTTCATTTCTTTTCCCTCTGATCCTCTTCTTGCCTCACCTCTCTGCCTCCTATCTATCTATCTATCTATCTATCTATCTATCTATCTATCTATCTATCTATCTATCTATCTGTCTATCTACCTATCTAATCATTCTCTCTCTCTCTCTCTCTCTCTCTCTCTCTCTCTCTCTCTCTCTCTCTCTCTATCTTGCTAGACTCTCACAAAACAACCCAGGCTGGCCTTGAAAGGACAGAAATCCTTCTACCTCAGCATCCCAAGTGCTGGAATTACAGGCATGTGCTAGAACTCCTCCTTCTTACCTAAGTAACTGTTAATAAAGTGGTCAAAAACAGATCAGGAGCTCTTGATTAACAATTAATTCTTATTTTATCTTGCAGAAAACTGTTCCAGGGGTGCTGAGTATGTAGACTGCAAAGATCCCAAGGCACAGAGAAGGACTGAAAGGACATGTAGCACCCGGAACATACCTGATTTTGAGGTGAGTAACATTACCTCAGAGTGGAGCCTTTTAAAACATGAAAATTTTCAGGGTAAATAGAAGCCATAATCTCTGAGAAAGATAGCTACATCATTGCGTACATGCATGATCTGTTTCACTTGTCAAATTTGAGCCCCAGATGTACAGTGGCTAAATTGATACATTTAACATGATGCTGATAATATGACATGATGACAGAGTGTCGGTTCTGTATGTTTTCTTGTAGGGAGACTTGCCTTGCAAACGTGGGTGCTACTGTCCAGTAGGAATGGTTCGTAACTCTAAAGGGATATGTATACATCCTGATGATTGTCCCTGCTCTTTTGGTGACAGAGAATATGAACAAGGAAGTGTTACTTCTGTTGGCTGCAATGAGTGGTATGTAATAAAGAATTTGCAATTTGTTAGTTTTAGATATTTAGAAATAGATAGTTTGTTGTTATATTTTTATGGGAATGAGAAAGTCATGCCTAGTGCTGTTTGAAAGAATAATGGCCAACTTGTTAGCAAAAGATAGTATTTTTTTTTTCCAAAAAACCCTTTGTGTGTAGTATTACATAACATGAACATTAGACAATATAATGAGGATGCCTACAATTTCTTTAAGCCAAGACACATTTTATGATTTTTACAAACCAATAAAATACATAAATCATAGCAAAAGTAATTATCAATTTTCTCCTTTCAGTACTTGCATAAAAGGGTCTTGGAACTGTACCCAAAATGAATGTCAAACAACTTGCCACATCTATGGGGAAGGACATGTCAGAACCTTCGATGGAGAAAGTTACAGCTTTGATGGGCTCTGCCAGTACACATTCCTTGAGGTAATTACGTGTATATTTTATAATAAGTTTTTCTGTCCTTCATAATTATTCTTCGTATGCTCATGAGTACAGGGGAATTTCATTTTTTTTTTTTTTTTTTTTTTTTTTTTTTTTTTTTTTTTTTACAGTTTTGATATGTTTCTAGAAGGGGGAGTGTTTTCCAGTGTGATGCTGGTTCGGGTGGCTCTACTGACTTCCGGCTTAGCTCCATTAGATGTAGGACTGTGGCCACGTTCCTTTAGGTCTCAGAGTCTAAGATTCTGCATCCATAAAATGTGCATGAAAATAGTCCTTGCTTGAATCCAAACGGGAGCACACATTGTAGCCCACATTAAGTGCTTAGTGAGTGAATGTTAGATCCTAGCTGTAGCAGCAGAGATGGTGACTAGAATTTCACAAGTGCTTCCTTGCCTATGAAGTTGACAAAATTTATTGTTTTTTAAATCATTGTAATAATGCTAGACAACTATTATTGCTCCTATAATACAGCTAGAGAAGGGGAGCTTTAAGTAAATTGAACGGCTTAAACTACTAACTAGAGGATGCCATTGATAAAGAATGAAATGTGTGATTTCAGTGTTAATGCTTTTTAGATGCAATTAAGCTCCTCGATAAGCTATCATCTAGTGTGTAAAGTTTGGGTTGTTTTTCATTTGTAGATTAGATATGGTTGCCAATCAAATTTTATATAAATGACTGAAGAAAAAGAACCACCCTTAGCTATTTAAAGAACCCCCAAACAAACTAATGATTCCTATATATGATGTAAATACATAGACATCTATGGTAAAATCTGGACTTGTGTGGAAGCAATGAACTTAGCTTTGAATTAAAATAGGCTAATTAGAGTAAACTCTGCAGGATGCCTAGCCACAAATACAGCCAAGCTCCTGCATTTTAGGAATTTTTCACCACAGCATATGATGTATTTCATTTAAGAAATCATCTGTAGATATTGAAGTTTATGTTCCTGACACTAATAAACTATTATAATTTACTTTTAATAGGATTACTGTGGCCAAGAAAACGGCACATTCCGTATTTTAACTGAGAGTGTCCCATGCTGTGAAAATGGGCTCACCTGCTCCAGAAAAGTCGTCGTGGCTTTCCAGGTGTGATATGACTCCTCTTTGCTTGAATTTTCTCCCAGATTATGAACTTTCTAACTGAAAGGGCTCTTTGTAAAATCTTCCTTTTAATTTACAGGATCAAAACATCGTCTTACAAGATGGTAAAGTAACAGCAGTTCAAACTACTGAAAATACGGATTGTGAGCGCAATGGGACCCTGTACTCCATCCACACTGTTGGCCTCTACCTGATTGTGAAACTTGCGAATGGAATCATCTTGATTTGGGATAAATATACAAAAGTATCTGTTATTTTGGACCCAGAGTGGCAGGTTTGTGCATCTCTCACAAGCTGGGGAAATTGACATTTAGAAACAGGTTAGGGTCTCAGTTACTATAATGAGCCTACTTACTTCTCTTTAGTTATCATTAAATATAATAAAATGACCAAATCTGATAGGAATCTGGAGGCAGTCTAGTCTAACTGTATCTACTTTCTTGAGATTGTCACATGATATGATTTTAAGGTAATTATATATTTTACATTAAGTATATTTCAAGTTGTAGGTATTCTAAAACTATGAGTATATGCATACATAATTACCTTAAAATCACAAATATAACTATTTTTCATTCTTAAATCATTTATTATGCCAGGTGTGATGGCACATGCCTTTAATCCCAGCACTCAAGAGGTAAAGGCTGGTGGAGCTCTGTGAGTTTGAGGCCAGCCTGGTCTACATAGTGAGTTCCAGGACAGCCAGGACTATGTAATAGAAAAAAACTCCCCCCACAAAAGAATATTTATTATGCTTGATACTAGATCATTTTATAATATAGGATAGCTTAAACTAAATGGGAGAATTTTACTCACACATTCTGATTCTTCTGAAAATTAGAATTCACTATGATTCAGTGTTTATAATTGTGATGTTTAGGGCTATCTATCTATCTTTCTATCTATCTATCTATTCTCTATCTGCCACCCATCTCTTTGATATATCTATATTTTCAACTCTGTAGTAGGTACAACTGATTCTTGTTATTTTCATACAGGGTTGTATAAGGTCATTTTCACGCACATAAATAATGTATTTGAACAGTCTCCCTTCTGTCCTACTATCCTTCCTCTTCTCAACCCTTCTGCCTCTCACTAGCCCCCACTGTCTCCTAGATGGTTTCACTTGCACACATCGGTAAATGGAATGCTCTCATACCAACACTATCCAGGATCTACAATTGAAAGAAAGTGTGTGGCATGTATTCCTGAGACTGACTTGGCTCTCGGCGCTCTTTAATTTGTGTCAATTTCACACAAACTAAAGTTGCCTTGGAAGAGAGAGCTTCGGGTGAGGAATGGCCTCCAGCAGATTGGCTTGTGGCCTGTCTGTGAAGCATTTTCTTTTATTATTATTATTATTATTATTATTATTATTATTATTATTATTTTTGGTTTTTCGAGACAGGGTTTCTCTGTGTAGCTTTGTGCCTTTCCTGGCTCTTGCTCATGTAGACCAGGCTGGCCTTGAACTCACAAAGATCCGCCTGCCTCTGCTTCTCGAGTGCTGGGATTAAAGGCGTGTGCCACCACTGCCCAGCTAGCATTTTCTTAATTGCTAATTGATGTGGGAGGGCCCAGCCTGCTGTGGTGATGCTATTCCTGGGCAGCTGGGCCTGGGTTAAACACTCAACAAAGCAATTCTGAGGACACAAGCCAGCAGGTAGTCTTCCTCTGTGGCCTCTGCTTCAGTTTCTGCTCTAGGTTCCTGCTTTGAGTTTCTACCTTGGCTTCCTTCAGTGATGGCCCGTGACCTTGTATGATAAACACTTTCCTCCTCAAGTTGGTTTTGATCAGTGTTTATCACAGATTGATCTGTGATTGTAACTTGATTATTTCCAGTTGCCTCCATTCTCCAGGAAGGGAAGTTATTTGTTTCTCATTATGACTGAACATTTCCGTTGTGTATATGAGACACATTTTCTTCATTCATTCCTCGTTTAGAACTTACATTGACTCCATCCATTACTTAGCTGTTGTGAGCGGTGTTTTTATAAACATTGGTGTGAAAATACCTCTCGATGGCTGAGACATATGGAAGGTCTGTTTTCCGTAGTGGTTGATCTAGTTGACATTCCCCCAGTGCTGTGTGCTGTCCCTTTCCACCCATGCTCTTCAGCATTTGTTGTCCCCTGTCTTTCTGATGACTATGATTTTGACTGGGGGGAGTTGTTCTGATCTGCATTCTTTGATGACTGCTGTAATAGTTACTGTAAGGAGCTAGCAGTTTTGCTGGCACCATTTGTTGGAGAGGCTGCCGGCAACCTTAAATCAGCTGTGTAGCTTTATTTCTGGGTCCTCTCTTCCATTGATTCACATATCTGTATTTCTGCCAGGACCACATAGTTTTTATTGATATGGTTCTGTTATATAACTTGGAACCAGATATGGCGATTCCCCACTCCCTACCCCCAGCATTATGTTATTTTGATTCATGGTTATCTTGGCTACCCTGAGTGTCCTGTACTTCCATATGAGTGATTTTTCTGTTTCTTTTAAGAATGCCATTAACATATTTATTAGGATTACATTGGATCAGCAGATTACTTTTGGTAGGCTGGCCATTTTCACAATGTTAATTCTTCCAATCCATAAGGACAGGGAGTCCTTCCACTGTCTAGACTCTCACTTTCTTCTGGTTTCTCTGTGTTTTAAAGTTTTCAATGTAGAGGGAGGTCTTTTATGTCCTTGCTTAGGTTTATTTTGTCTTTATTTTCCCTTCAAATTTGTTTCTCACAATGTTTGTTAGTGTGGCAGCTAGTTTTATGTCAACTTGACACAAGCTAGAGTCATTGGAGGGGAACTTCAATTGAGAAAATGACTCCATAATAAGATCCAGCTATAGGGAAGCCTGTAAGGCACTTTCTTAATTAGTGATTGATGAGGGAGGTCCCAGCCTGCTGTTGGTGGGGTGACCCTTAGGCTGGTGGTCTCAAGTTCTATAAGAAAGCAGACTGAGCAAGCCATGGAGAGCAAGCCAGTAAGCAGCACCCCTTCACGGCCTCTGCATCAGCTCCTGCCTCCAGGTTCCTGCCCTGCTTGAGTTCCTGCCCTGATTTCCATCAATGATGAACAGTGATGTGGAAGTGTAAGCCAAATAAACCCTTTCTTCCCCAAGTTGCTTTTAGTCATGTGTTTCATCACAGCAATACTAACACTGACTAGGACAATTAGCACAAAGGAAGACTTCTGATTTTTCACATTTATTTTGTATTTTGCCACACTATTAAATGTGTTTATGAGGTTTTTTTGTTTTCGTTTTTGTTTTTTTTTTTTGGCAAAGTCTCTAGGTATAGAATCACTTCATCTGCAAAGATACTTTAACTTCTTCCTTTCCTATTTGTATCCTTTTAATTTTCTTCTCTTCTCTTCTCTTTCTCTTACCGCTCTAGCTAAGACTTCAAAGATTGTATTAAATAAGAATGGAGAAAGTGCACACACATGTCTTGTCCCTGACAACATTGAAAATGCATTCAGTTTCCCCCCATTAATTATGATGGCCGTAGGCTCATAAAATATAGTATTTGTTATTTGGGGATAAATTTCTTCTATTCCTGTTATTTTGAGGGCTTTTATCATAAAGGGATGTTGGGTTTTGTCAAAAGCCTTTTCTGCATCTATTGAGATGATCATGTGAATTGTCTTTGTGTCCACAATTTACCATGTTGTATTTATTGACTGTCATGCATTGTTCTATGTCTGCATCCCTGGAATGGAGGTGACTTGATCATGTGAATGATCTTCTACTGTGACTTCTGCCTCTTTGATCAACACAGAGCAAAGTGTGCGGTCTTTGTGGAAATAACAATGGTGATCTTAAGGATGACTTCACAACAAGACACTCTTTGGTAGCTGCCACAGCCCTGGAATTTGGAAACAGTTGGAAAACAAGTCAAGAGTGTTCAGATACAGTCACTCAAAGCTTCCCATGTGACTCAAACCCATACTGCAAAGCCTGGGCTGAGAAGAAGTGTGAGATCATCAGGGATGACACCTTCAGGGACTGCCACAGCAAGGTAGTACTGTTCTGAATACCACTGCTCGCCTGGGTCCTTCCCAGACACTCATGTACTGTGTTCTGTCTAGGTGGACCCTACGGCATACTACAATGCATGTATCGAAGAAGCCTGTGCATGTGACATGGAGGGGAAGTACCTTGGCTTCTGTACCGCTGTGGCAATGTATGCAGAGGCATGCAATGCAGCCGGAGTCTGTGTCTCATGGAGAAAGCCAAACCTTTGCCGTAAGTGAAGTCTGGATGTTAATGGTTTTCTAAAAATTGTAGTTAGACTAAGCTGTTTTCTTAAACAATTGATCTTCCTCTCAGATTTTTCTATAAAACACATATTCTCAAACCTAGAGAGGGTTGAGATCATCTTAATGTATTTATGATGGTTAAAACACCCAACAGAAATAGCACAAGGTATAATATTTTGTGTTCAATTTTAGTTAGGAAAAATGCTTTTGTTCATAGAGGAAATATATTGGACATTGGTGAAAAATGCATCTCCCTACACTAGATGAATGATGAGTTTGGGTATTAGTGTGCCCTAGGCATGAGCCTCATACACTACTCTTGGTTAAAATCCTCACTTTTGTTGTTTCCTTGACATAGACCCTTATTGAATATAAACTTGAATATAGATTGAATCTCTACCCACAGAGCCACATAACCATAATAGAAATAAGCCAGCCTTTTCCCCTTGTAAGCAAGGCATGACTGGAGATGTGTTAAATAGAAAGAAGCTTTGACAGGGTAAACATTGCATTCCACTTACAACGTTTAGCGATATAGTAACAGGGTAAACATTGCATTCCACTTACAACGTTTAGTGATATAGTAACCTCTTAAATTATTTTATTTGAAGACTACCACATATCATTAATTTTCTCAGACTCTTTGTGAGACAGGGTATACACTGTAGCTCAGGTTGCCCCAGAACTCACTATGTAGTGCAGGCTGGCCTTGGCCTTGTAGCAATTCTCCTGGCCAAGCTAATTCAGTGGTTGTACTATAGGAGCAAGCCACCATGTCCATCAGCTCCTTTTCTGTTGTTGTTGTTGTTGTTACCACTGTTTTCATATTTATTTTTCCAACTTCAGCTTGAACATTGAAACCAGAAATCTAGACCAGCAGTTATCAACCTGTGGGTCATGACCCCTTTGGGGGTCAAACGACCCTTTTACAGGATCACCTAAGACCATTGGAAAACACGGACATTTACACTACAATTCCTAACAGTAGCAAAATTACATGAAGTAAAAATAATTTTATGATTGGGGTCACTACAACATGAGGAACTGTATTAAAGGGTTGCAGCATTAGGAAGGTTGAGAGCCACTGGTCTAGATGAGGCTTAAAATCTCTCCAACTGAGTTGTGAAAGGAAAGAGTTAGCTAAGTCTATAAGCTTTCCTCTTTGTGTGTGTGTGTGGGGGGTTAGCCTATATAACAATTAAATGAAGCCAAAGAAACTTGATAAGGTGGATGACACATGTTTAGGTCTGTCATTAGGATCATGTAGGATCCCTTTAAAAAAGAAATTGAAAGGTGAAAATGGCCGTACTAGGAATCAAAGTAATCTGCTGCAATTCTATCACAGCTGTGTACTGTGACTACTACAATGCCCCTGGGGAATGCAGCTGGCACTATGAACCTTGTGGCACAGTGACGGCCAAAACATGCAAAGATCAGGTCATTGGCCAGAAGTTTTCTTCACTTTTAGAAGGTAAGACACACCTGAAGGGTTGTGAAAATGACGCTGCCTTTAAAACTAAAGAATATTGGTTTCTCCAGATCCACTGTCTGATTTTTATGATTGAGCGGAGTGATTTTTATGTTAGCAAGTCTATAGTACCTTTTATTTAGATGCAGTCGTCCTTTCTGAGGAGAATGATGGTGCTGCAGCCCTGCATTCAGTCTTTATACTTGCCATGGGATGATGCTCATGCATGCAAAAACAGTTTCAAAAAGCAACTTGTGAAAGGATGGAGTTTGAGGTTAGGCTGGACATCTGCATCCCACACTTGAACAGCACTTTATTCTTAGCGCTGTGCCTCCTAGAAAGAAAGATGTGGCAGGAAAAAAAAAATGACATAAAACCATCTCTGTGTCAAGCACTGGAATGTTTTAGTATAACTCCGGTGTCTTTCCTCTCTTGGAAAAATAGATATTTGGAAGTGTCATCCACAGTTAAGAGGCTGATCTAACCAAAGCCTACTTTATGCTTACATGTACACCATTAAAGTAGCAAACCATTCAGGAGAACTTGGATATACTTTTAACAAGAATGGACTTGAGAAGAAAAAATTAATATATAATATATTATAAAATATTATATATATATTATACATTTATAACTTAGGTTGGTATCAGCTCAGTCCCATTCCCCTTACATTTCCGTAAGAGTGATTGCTTTGCTACCCCCCACTTCAGCTCACAGAATCTCTGTCAGAAACATACGATGAAGTATGACGAGTTTTGGTAAATGCAGATGAACTGTGGGATATTGTTCCTTGCAGGCTGTTATGCCAAGTGTCCAGAAAACGCACCCTATCTGGACGAGAACACGATGAAATGTGTCCAGTTATCTGAGTGCAGCTGCTTCTACAACGATGTCATACCAGCAGGGGGAGCTGTTGTAGATGACTGCGGAAGAACATGGTATGTTCTCGGCTGCTTTCCTGCGAGCAGTTCGTCTGTGATAGTAGTTACCCTGTATTTAAAAAATAATCACAAACAACCAAATGGTTTATAAAATCTTTAAATCTGATGAGAAGAGAGCAGGAAAAGTCACTCTGTAGTTTAGAGGAAAGACATTTGCAGGCTGTCGAATATGAAGTTATGCCGATGAGATTGTATTAGGGAAGCATGCTCATTAAGGAATGAGGTTGACGTAGATAATTTTAAAACTAACTTGGCTGCTGGACCGTAAATCATCCCGTAGTTCCACAAACTCTGCGGTGAAATGAGCAGGAATAACAGCCCGTCAAGCACACATGCACCTGAACGTGCTCCACGTGATGGTGGGTGACGGGGGTAGGGGGGTAGGGGGGTAGGGGGGTAGGGGTTGCTGTTAGCGCTCTTCTCTTGGTTCTGTTTCGTTTTCGCCACTTGACAATTTGTTGTCGTCAATTTGTGAAGTGTGTGTTTACTGGGGGGTCGAATTCCGAGTCATTCTTTTCCTTTTCCGATTTGACTTTCAGCTATTGTATGGCTGGCGAGTTGGAGTGCAGTGGTAAGTACTCAACTTTACTCCTGTTCGTTTAGGAATGGTGAGATGAGGGACATGGGGTCCTCTGTAGACCATCAACAAAATACAAGTACATAGCCACACTTTTGACTGCCTGTATGGGCCTGTCACCATTCCAACCTGTGTGGTTTTTCATAGAGAATCACTCCTCAGAGCCAGGGCAGTGGTGGCTAACAATTGTGTTTTCTCTACTGACATTTGGTACTCATGAATGGTTTTCCTACTCCATGTGTGCCCTGACATCTGATACTCATGAGTGTTTTCCATACTTTTTCCATACTGCATGCATGCCCTGACACTTGATGCTCATGAGTGTTTTCCATGCTGCATGCATGCCCTGACATCTGTACGCTTAGGGAATTAAGATGGTAAAGAGGCATCTGTCAAGGTAATCTAATGAAGGGCTGGTGCAAAAGAAACATTGATAGGCTATAAGGGGTTTAGGGACACATGAGAAACACGTATGTTACCAATGAGTCCTGGACTTCGGATGTGGCTCAGTGATATAGTGCTTGTCCTGCTAAGTATGGAGCAAACTCCTGGGTTCAGTATCCAGAACCTTAACAAAGCAAACAAAGCTTCAATGAGTTTCAAAAGAACTCAAGAAATATTCCTGCTTTGTATTAAGAACTATAAGACATAAAACAAAAGGCACATGGCTTCTGAATGACTGAAGATGTTGTGCTTTGTCATTACTTTCAATTACTGCCAATAATAGCCACCTGTGTTCATTTCAGAGACCCCGCCCACAAATTCAACACCAACAGGTAAAGTTACAATTCTGTCTCAAATATGTAACTGATCTTTGTGTCAATACCCTTTATTTATAGTTTTATACAGTTTTGTGCCAGTAAAAAAGTATGTTGGCAAATCAGATGATATAAATGTAAAACTAAAATTGTTACTAGAAAATACCAGAATATTATTTTATCGTATTTCTACAAATTAAGTCAGGAAAGTGATTACAACATGCCATAAATATTCCACACTACTTAATTAAATATCATCACCTGGAGTCTGACATTTTTAGGTGATAATTAAGTAAGTGGTAAAATGAAATAAATGTGGTATCTTAATGATATAAATATTTGAAAATTATGATCACACTTAGAGATGATTTGAAAATGGAAACAGTTCATTCTTTATTCTTAAATCATGTCTTTATATTATTTGGTAGAGGTATTTAATTAGGTTCATCTAAGAGAATTCTGGGCAAATTAGCTTACGTTGGTTTTGAAAGATTGAATTTCCTGACAGTTTGAACACACGGGGGCTAGTTACGGCACACGTCTCCCTTATGTGGTTTAGAAGGGATTTTATTTCCTGTTGACTACTCTTTGCAGGTTACAATGAATAAGAGGTTGGGAGCCTTAGACTCTGGAGATAAACTTAATGTTAGATGGCCTTGTTGAAGTGCTGTTGACACTACAGTTACTACTGCCTACTTTCCTGAGACTGAGTTACCAGACAGCATGTTCCTGAAATGCATTTCTTGGTCCTTGTAAAATTCCCGGGGAGTTCAACTAGCTGATCATGACAGAAAATAATTAGTTGTTTTTTGGACATACAATATGTAGTGCTATTTATACTGATTTACATACAAAAGTGTTTTTGTCACTTGATTTCTACAGATAATTTCGATTTTAGTTGAAGATAGCACATTTCATGAATGAAATGTCCTAACAAAGATTCCTCAACTAATTTGTTTTCCTAAATACTATTTCCCCAAACAGTTTCTATGACCACAGCTACGTCCGCATTAAGCACCTCAACAGGTAAATAAAAATAAAATGTTCCGTATCATTTGTAGTTTGTACATTGATAGCAAAGTGAATATGAAGTTCAGGCATGTGGGCCCTGCCTCCAGTCTGTCAGTCTTCATTTATTACTTTCCTAAATGTTCATGCTAAGTATCAGGATTTCCATCTTTTTGAACTGTGGGCAAAGAGCATGGTTCCTATGGTTATCTTCCCTAAAAGAACATTTTGCGTGTTGTTGGCTAGGAGGTAACCACTATGCTAACAAATTCTATGTTAAAAATTTCACCCAAGTTCCATGGGTTAAGTTAAAGCCACAGGTAGTAGATTACAAAAATATACTGAAATGTGTGAGAATCTGACGAATGAGGCCGAGTGATGCAAGTTAGTTAATTTACGTACATTTTTGGAAACCTTATCTTGATGAATACTTTGTAAGTTTTGAGTATTGATGCAATTTAACCTACATTTCCAAAACATTTGTCTCCTCTGCATAGCAGCAACATCGGTGGCCAGCAGCTCAAGTGCAGGTAAGCCTTTGCCCATGGGGGACTTCAGACCCATCAGTCTTTCTTTCCAAAATTCTGTCTTTGAAAAAAAAGTGGGTTAGAAAATGGTTTTGGAAGAGAAAAAAATCACACACAATGTTTTCTGACTTTATTTGTGATTTATAATTGTTAGAACGTTGTTCCTACATTTTATTTTGCCTTTGTGGTCGAGGTTTTCAGAAACATTAATTATGAGTTCAACTATTTTGTGGACAACCATAGCTGTGTTCAGAAGCATAATATTCCTCCATACTAAGTTATTTTTTCAATTGATTTCTCAAGTTCAGCAGCATCCATTCCAACAATTATAATATCAAGCACCAAAGCAATAGGTAGATAAATCAGAAACTTTATAAAAGTACCAATAAGTTTTTATATAAATCAAAAGACTTTTCAGGTACAAACCTAGGGTAACATATATATAGTATAAACATTGGTTTGATTGAATATTTGAACTACTAAGGTTTGAATTCTCCCATTAAGTGTTCCTAGTTTAGCCACTTATAGTTAACAATCACTGAGTAGGCTTCAATACCTTAGACAAATAAAAATATGAGAAAAAAAGTGTTTGAGAAAAAGTGGTTAACCAATACATCACTATGACTTTACACCTTTATGCCTACATCCACACATACAATGTTAACAAAATCATAAAAGGATTTGTCCTTCTAAATCTACACTATTTCTGAAACATCTGCTTTCCTATGATCAGGACCCCCTCCTCCACCAGTCTGTTTGACTTCTCTTTCCTCTGTGAATTATTAATTTCTCTGTTCTGAAAAGAGCATACTTCTGAGACCACTTCCTTTGGTTTTCCATTCTAGCATTCTCAACTACATCTAGGGTCAAGCTATGCAATTGTATCTGGCAAATGTTCTAATGATAAATCGATAGCCTAGCATGTTGAAAATTTGTAACTATATTTTTAAATTTTAAAATAGAAAATTAGTAACTCAGCTTTCACAATTTGGCAGAGTTTCTTCTTAGTGTTTGAATATCATTTAAGCTAATAAATCTTTGAGCTCATGTGTTTTGTTTATCTGAGATAATCTTCCTTCTGTAAAAATAAAAATACATAAAACCAAGCTGATTTTTAGATGATAATGTCATATAATGTAGGATTATTAATATAGTTTAAAACATCTTATAATGCTTAGTGTTATTTATTTGATAATCATTATCTTTTATATACAAAGCAATAAGTGTTGGGCAAAGAAAATTTAAAGCAATTATTTATATCAAAGTATCAGCAATCAGACCAGCAAGATGGCTCAGCTGGTAAAGGGGTTGGCACCAAACATGAAGACCTGAGGTTAATCCCTGGTATCCACATGGTGGTAGGAAACAGCCAACTATTACAGGTTGTCCACTGATGTTCATAAGTGTGATGTAGCATGTACCCCTAAATTAATAATAAATGTTAAAATGGCAATGATATTATCGAAACTAGAACCACATAGTTATTCTTGCCAACTTCATATTTTGTTGGATTATCATGAGCAGTACCAAGAAATAGAAATCTTAGGAAGACTGGCTCATTTCAAGATGTTTTTCTCCATTGTGTACTTATCAATTCATGTCCCCAGGTCAATTTGCAATTTTAACCAGTGGGTTTTCTGCATGATTTCATGTTTATTATAGAATAATCTCTACTCAGCATTAACTGGGCCCTGAGCAGTGAACCACATGTCTAACACTCAGCTTAGCTCTGTTTCTGAGATGAGCAAATTGGTTCAGTTCCAATATTCCATTTAGTTAATTATCTATTAAAACTTTGAGTCTTGTGACTGTTTAAATATGGTCTCCATGTGTGGTTTCATCCCAGAGGTCCTCAAGTATGCTGAGCAGTGGGGGTAACTGTTGTAGGCTCTGGTGTAGAATGGCTGTACACTGTCACCACCGTCTCATGTTTCCTCTCCTGGTACTCAGTTTTGAGCAGATCTTCAGTTGTATTTTGTCAAAACTTTGCATTGACACAGACTCTCCAGAGTTTGGAAAGAGAAGAGATTTTGTAGGCAACTGATAAAATGCGTCTCTGTAAACCTATGACAATTGTTTCATCTTCATTCTGTGACTTTACAAATGCAAACTTTAGTGTGGAGCTGAGTTGGAGGGAAGGTTGCCTAGAACTTTCCCACTGACTTTATTCAATGCACTATTGATGGTGCTTTATGTTTTGTCTCGAAGAATCTTGTGTTTTATTTAGTTTTGCTGAAATTCCAGTGGTTGTTTTGTGATGTACAGTATTAATAACTTGCTAAGTCAGGGGTTCTTAACCTGTGGTTCGTGACGGCTTTGGGGATCGAATGACTCTCTCACAGGGGTCGCGTAAGGCCATTGGAGAACACAGATACTTACACTACAATTCATAATGGTAGCACATTTGCAGTTATAAGGTAACAACAAAAACAGTTTTATGGTTGGGGGTCACCACAGCATGAGGAACTCTATTAAAAGGTCGCAGCCTTAGGAAGATTGAGAACTGCTGTGCTCAGGGCTTCATTAGTGCGGCATTGAGAGATGAGTTAATGATGTGGATTTGCTGCAGTCTGTGCGGTCAGTGCCTTCCCTTCCCTGCTCAGGCAGCCTCACACCTTCTGATGAAGGACTGTTGTCCCCCACACACCCCTCCCTGCTTGACAATACATGTGAGGGGATACAAAGCCCTTGAGTAATGTTGCCAAGGTTTTGAAGCACAGGCTGTAAAGACATCTGGGGCTTCACACAGACAGGAATCAGGGTCCTTTTTGAGGTTGTTTTCTTACCAGCCACAGAGCCAGAAGTTATAGTTAATGTTCTAAAATCAGGAGACAAAAGCAAAATAGTTTTTTTTTCCATTTTAAAATTGTTCTGTGGTGCTACAAGTTATGTGGGCATTTTAAATTTGCTAAGTAACCCCTGTGTATATAAAGTGAATATCAAATTGTCAGGGATTTGTGTCTTTCAACATTTCTTAATAATGTTTCTGCAGCTTGTTCTGTTGCAAGAATAAATTACCTCCCAGACAAACTGATTTTAAATGACAATGGTAAGATGATGGAGGGTCTAGGACCTCATCTACAATTCCACATCCTTTCTGTAACTTTGCTCATATCACACTCAAAGGATGAGACTTTTAAAACCATTGAACTAATAATGAACTTGAGGTGTGGATAATACCACTCATTTATCATTGTTGATGCCAGTAACACAGCAGCCATAGATCAGGTTCTGCCGGTAATGTGGGCACTGGATGGTGACATGAGCACCTTGGACTGGGTACAGACTGTTCAGCAGAACACGATGCTGAATAAGTATAAGAAATAACAGGCCAATGTCCATTTGCCTGAGGAGCTGTAATAATCACTCAAAGGTGAGAATCTCAAAGTATGCCGTCTGCAATACTGATTTCTTTATTTTGAAACGTGAAAGGCAAATGGTATCTACTATTCTTTTATTGCTCATGATACATATAAAAATGAAGCATTTTCCTCTAAGGCCCACCAACACAATTTTTTTAAACTTTTTTTTTCTTCTAAATTGACTTAATGAGTGTCTTGCCAAGTAACAGAAGTTTTGGGAATACTGAAAAGAGAAGTGTGGACACTTGTAGAGTGACTGCCTTGCACAAACAGTAGGCTGGAGACACGCCTCATTTCTCTTACTGACATTGAGGGTTTAAAAATGGAATGGCATTTGGTGAACTGTGAAGAATAACAACTACATAATGGATGCTTTTATGTCTTCCAGTGGTATGTTTTATTCTATGTGATATGAAAAATGGATCTTAGTCTTTAAAAATTTAAAATAGGAACTCAAGAGGCCAGCTGGATGGCTCAACAGATAAGAGAGCTTGCTGCCAATCCTGATGAACAGAGTTCAGTCCCAGGACCCTCATGGTAGATGGTAGAACCTACTCCTGCACGTTGTCCTTTGATATCCACAGGACATACATATCCCTGCATACCAGGGCACGTGCACGCACACGCACGCACACACACACACACACACACACACACACACACACACACACACGCATGCACACGCATACATGTGCACACACACATTCACACAGAGGTGGGGGAAGGAGATAGAAGGAAATAGAAACAAAAAAACATAAATAAGAATTTATTATTAGTTGTAGTTTGTTGTAAATGTAGTGTACATTGGCTGAAACACTAAAGAGTCTGGCAAGCCAGAAGATTTTACTTCAACACTTGTTTCCTGACAAGCGACTTTTTGATCAAGATTTGGATCAAACTAGTCTGATGTAAAAATGGATGCAGGATTTTCATCACCGTGCAGTTTTTTTGAGACAAAGTCCTCACGAGTCGTCTTCCTCTGCCCCTTTAGAGCTGAGATCCCAGGCATGCAGCGAATAGCCTGAGACTAGAGGAAGGTTTTTAGGAATATTGAAAAAACTTTAAAACTTAAAGAAATCAATATGCAAGAGTTGTTTTCTCAGAAAATATGTATAAACATCCCATATATATTTCCAAATACACATATATGTACCTATACATATACTTATTTATTTGGTTCTTTATAAATATATATCTTAGAATGTGTATATCTGGGAATATATATGTATTCTTTTCTATATTTTCTTTTATAGAGAGAATATATGAAAGAAGTGTATGTGCAGAATGAATATATCTGTATATATATTCTTTCCTACACAGTAATTGCTTTCTTTTAAAGGACTAAAACTACCCAAGAGATGACTTATGTATCATTTTAATGAAAATGTTATTGAGAAGAACAATATGGATGCAGCTGCAGGGTTTCCCCATTCCGGTCAACGTAGACATGGCTGTTTTAGATATTGTTCTAAATATCTGCCACATGCTATCTCATTTGATACAGAAAATTCGTGAGATAGTATTAGTTATTTCTTCCTACTTGCAAGTGAGCAGCATAGAGAGGAATGTGTCTAAAGTTGTTTGCTGAAGAGTGCCAGGCAGAGAATCCCAATCTAGGATTTGTTCATACTCTAGTTCTGG